TCATTTCATTTACATTTCAATTGTCATTCAATCGCTTCAATAGCAGTCAATAGCATTGCATTCCATTCACTATTCACTCATTCACTGCAATCCCAATCAACGTAACTATTATGCCATACATTATATGTACGAATATATACACATATATACGCATACATGCACTATATAGCGAGTGTACGTATATAGCCTACAAATATCTATGACTTCCACCCAATATGGTTGACATATAATTATAGTCTACCAAACGCTATGATTGGTCGTTCACCAGTGCATTCCCCTTTAACCCCCGCAATATCGTGTATAACGCCCTACACGCGTCCACGTCCTCAATGACGCCTATGACATATGCCATGACATGACAGACCTCCTTAGTATTTGTCTGGTTTTGGACAATGCTTTTGTTTTAACTAATGAAATAATTTTATACATAAATAATTTCTTTATATTTAAGTCTTATATATTTAATTGTCAAAATACTGTACTAGGAATAAAGCACTCAAATTGTATGAGTATTTACATATACTGTATTATTAATATTTCACATAATTACAAGTATTAATAATATATGGATTAGATACCCTTATATTCATATGATTTAAAGTGTAATTCAAGTCAAAGTGAAAACAGAATAGTACTTGGTAATGTTAACATTCTTATTAAAAGACAAACCCGATAGAAATAACATAGATAGACATACCAGGCCTAATAGGGTGCCCTAACTTTCATTTGTCAAATGTGGGTATTATACGGTAAACTATAGGTATTGAGTGTTCATTACATAAGTTTTTAGTGAAAATGTAATACAAAATGTATTGTTATATTAAACATGAAAATGACTCAAATATCACATTATGTTGTATTAGCGCTGATATGATATTACAATCAATGCATACATTCATTAAATATAAGTCACGTATCGATACAATAGTTTAGTCTATAATTTCACTTAAACTCACTTTAAATTGCATTTTATGTATAGTATTCTCGATGTATTATACCATTAATCCATTCACTAATCGATTCTAAATTGATTTACTTTTTGCTCGTTTCTAGTTTTCTGTTAATTAATTCATTTGTTCATTACTAAACAATTAGAAAAGTTTAACTCGAAAATTATTACCATGTTCAAATAAAAAGTATATTTTCTAAAATTAGTTTATAGTCTAGTTGCACAATCAAATGATTAGTAATACAGTATTAGAATATTTGTTATAAAAACATGATATCATTACAATAATAGCCAAAGTATTCAACAAAAAACTACATTTCATGGAACATAGGGTTGGGATGGGAAGGGATCACACATTCCTTGGCTTCCGATTCAGTCAATCATTTAAACATAAATTCAACATTTCTTGTCATTGCAATCATATTTAATGATAATTATAGTCCAAGTTTATTAACCATATTTATAAATATTTAAGGTTTATAAAACAAATTGATAATTTCTAAGGTTATAACCCTGATCATATCTGTGTACAGTAAATGTATACAGTGTACAAGTTTATATACGGGTTCAATTGTGGGTCCCTCTCAGACATACTTTGTTTGAACTGAAATATTGGTATAATTTGTATATAATTTGAACGAATTCTTAGAAATATGAGAAGTGTTTGAGTAAAACATGATTTCAAATGAAATATAATTGACTCGAAAGGGAATAAAATTGTTGTCATTATATGTTATGTTTTGAAACAATTATGGAAATAACAGAAAATAATTTCCGAGAAGGGCTACAAAACCTGTTATTTTGTTATGTTTTAGTTTCGATCATTTGTGGACAAAATATTTGCTATGAATCTATAAACCCATTGTATATAAAACTTAATCAAATGATCGATTAGTGTACAATTTCTATCATAAATGTATATTGGCTTCAAATATAAACTCTTTATTTTTGCTTTGAATTACAAAATTAAATTAAATTTCATATATCCATTCAAATGTATGTTCAATACTATTGAATCAATAGATTCTAAATTCTGCAGTATTACTATAGATAGACTTTATATCTATAGTCTCGCAGTTAGAGTTAGAGTTAGACCATTGCTTTCAATGCAATCTTTGAAGGCATATAAAGTTTAGTAAACGTGTAGTCAAATCAATGAGCAATGTACAATTGGTCACAAATCGTATTCAATTAAACTAATAATCTAATTGTGGTTAGAGTTTAAGAGTAAAAGTGAAGATATTTCATGTGGTAATTGACCACAAAAGGGTCGGCATTATTTGTTCAGGGCTGTCCAAATGGTCTGAAAGTTTGAAGCATTCATTGCATGGATTGAGTGGTTGTGTCGTCATTGATGGGGTGGTTGTGAAGGAAAGGCGTATTTGTATTAACATTGCATTCACTCATTGTTTTGCAATCAATTCAATTCAATTGCCGTTCATTTAAGGGTTTATTAATTCATTGAATCAGTGGTGAGTTGACAACAATCACACCATTTGTGTTGAATTGCATTCAAATGTCTGTGTGTTTGTGTCCATAGGAGGCAATGGCAGCGCCGGCATATGTGGCACCCGTAGTGATCACCGCCTTTTGGGTGATAGTGGGGGCAGTCCTACCATTCTTCGTACCCAAAGGACCCAACAAGGGGTGAGACCACTGACACACACCTGTGTTCACCACTACTAACCACTGTTGTCTTCCTCCAGAATCGTTCAGACAATACTCATGACTACATCCGTGTCCTGTTATGTGCTGTAAGTATATCTCATGCATCAACTCAATGGTCAGTTGATATGGTAATTGTGTGTCTGTTGGACAGGTGGTTGTGCACATACATCGCACAACTGAACCCGCTGTTTGGCCCACAAGTCAATAACGTGACCCTGAGCCTAATGTACAACAGCACATTCTGATACACCACCACATACTGGCCCACAAGTCACCATTGATTCCATGAATGCCTTAATTTAGTCACTATTCCAGAGATTTGTGAACCAATCGGTTGTTTATATGTTTATATAAAATGCTATTTATATGTCATTCAAGACATCGTTGCAAAAGATTATTGTATTAAATATTCCAGATATTTATGTATTTAATAATTAGGATTAATATTTAGTTTTAAATGTTATTTTATTTGCTATTTAAATAAAAAATACTTTTTAATAAGGATTAAATGGTGTCAACTTGTTTATTTATGCGTGTATAATCTTATGAATTAAACATCTCCCTGTATTATAAGTGAGCAATTTGTAATGTTTTGTTAATTAACCACTGTAGTAAGTTTTTATTGTCATCACAGTTTGTGTGCATAACTCGAACCCAGGTGACACTTTAAAACGTGTTGGACTTAATGTTTAGAGAATACAAAGTATACTGTATATGAATAATGAATATTCTATAAGTCAAAATGAATATTACAGCATTCAAATCTTAATCAATTTATGTGTATGTCAAATATTTATAGTACTGTACTCATCAAATAATGAATATATAGCATTACCAATTTTTATTACCGGTAATATAAAATAAGGTGTTTATACAGTATCACTAAATTCATAAATTTTTCCAGAAAAAATTAGTAATTTTGAATTACTATAAAACATGCATTATTAATATGCAAAATGTGTTATAAATATATTCTGTAGATTTTATTTAGCTTTCATAATTCAAATATAACATTAATTATTTTAGATTTTATTATTCAAATGCAGAATCTTTATATTTATAATAGTTTTGATTTGTTGGAAACTATAGAGTCTTGTGTTTAATAAAGTAAAATAAGGTATAAATAAAAATCTGGGTCAACTAAAACATATAACCCATTAATGTATGACTAAAACAGAATTTCAATCGATATTAATTTAGTAATTCATTCTTTATTCTGCTTTATTTTCATCTCAAAATTATAAAAACTATTTAAATTAAACAAAATTCTTATTAGTGGAATTTAAAAATTCTGAATAGCATATGATTATGGTCATAAAATGTACAAAATCGGTAGTTATTATTTGACTGAAATCCGTAATATATTCAATTTATTTCGCACTTTCTATGAAAAAAAGTCTTATTTCATACTATGAAAGGAAAACTTTTTCACTTTTATGTTTTCTTTCTATAATTAAATAACAATTTAATGAATTCAAACGAAAACAACAAATTCAATATAATTATAGATTTTAATCATAAAAGTTTATAATTATTATTGCATAGAGAGTGTTTGTGCTATGCGCTTATGTAAATTATTGTCTCAATCAATAAATCGGTGCAAATGTAGACAACATATGAATCAATGAACAGAACAATGATAAGTGAATATAAGATTGGCTTCGACGGCAACCTTGACTTCTTAATAGAAGTGATTCCATAGCAACTCAATTGTATATTTCAAACATTATTATTAATACACATTTGAATTTAGTTCGATATTTCCATAACTCATAATTCATAGAAACATAACATTTACCAACTCTTAAGCAACAAATTCACAGTTTCTATATGAATACAAAGGGCTTTTAATGTTGTCCACAATTTTTATATTTGTATCAAACGCTATTTTATTGTGATATAAATGATTACCGAATTAAATATTTTGTGTACATTCTTTGCAAACTTTACGAACAAATAGTAAAAGTTAGTTTAGATATTATTCAGCCTGTGATATAGTCTTCTACTTATTAATAAATTAATAATTTAGTTAATTTTAAAAAGTTATTATGGCTTCAGAAGCTGTTAAAGTGATAGTCCGGTGTCGGCCTATGAATCAAAGAGAAAAGGATCTGAAATGCAAAGTATGATCACATAATTGATTAGGAATTAAGAAAATTATAGATTTGTTTGTTTGCTCATCAGATTATATTGGATATCGACCAGTCCTGTGGTCAATGCTCTATAACCAACCCAAATGACACAACAAGTGCTCCCAAAACATTTTCATATGACGGCGCCTACTTTACTGACTCATCCACTGAACAAATCTATAATGAAATTGCATTTCCTTTGGTTGAGGTCCGAAAACATTTTAAAAATTTTATTTTATTTAAATCTAATTCAATCGGTTTATTATACTCATAGAGTGTTACTGAAGGATATAATGGGACAGTATTTGCATACGGACAGACCGGCTGCGGAAAGTCATTCACAATGCAAGGCATCACCTCTCCAGCCTCTCAAAGAGGCATTATTCCCAGGTTTGATCATCACTTATGTTATTTGTTTTTCATATTCTTTATATTTATCAAGAATATTAAATATATAATATATTTTTCTTAATTCAAAGTATTTTAGATATTTATTTCTTTTGTTATGAATCTTACATGTTATTAATAATACAAAACTGAAGCTTTAAATTCATTATTGATTTTATTTTTAAAACGCTATCATATATAATTACTTTTTAATAACACAAGCTATAGAAATGACATAAGAAAATGGCAAACATATAGAAAATAAAATATTTGTTTGGCAAATTATTGCTATTATAAATAGGATACTAATAAAAATTGTAATTTCAGAGCTTTTGAGCACATATTTGAAGCGATAGCGACCGCAGAAAACACAAAATTTCTGGTCTTTGCCTCTTATCTGGAGATATATAATGAAGAAATCCGAGATCTGTTGGGAAAAGACACCAAAAAGAAACTCGAACTCAAAGAGCATAACGACACAGGAGTTTATGTGACAAACCTATCGATGCATACCGTCCACGACGTTAAGAGTTGTGAACAGATTATGGAGAGGGGGTGGAAGAACAGGTCAGTTGGAGCCACACTCATGAATGCCGACTCTTCGCGCAGTCATTCAATATTCACGATATATTTGGAGCGAATGGAGACTGAAATAAGTGATGAAAATAATGACAACAATATAAGGAAAGGGAAATTAAATTTAGTTGATTTGGCGGGAAGTGAGCGCCAAACCAAGACCGGCGCTACTGGGGATCGGCTCAAAGAGGCCACAAAAATCAATTTATCGCTCTCGGCGTTGGGGAACGTCATATCAGCGCTGGTCGACGGCAAAAGCAAACACATCCCATACAGGGATTCAAAGTTAACTCGACTCCTTCAGGACAGTCTGGGCGGTAACACCAAGACATTGATGGTGGCCTGCCTTTCACCCGCTGATAACAACTATGACGAGACACTGAGTACATTGAGGTACTCGAATCGGGCAAAAAACATCCAAAACAAGCCCAAAATCAATGAGGATCCCAAAGATGCCCTCCTCAGGGAATACCAACAGGAGATCATTCGCCTCAAAAGCCTTATGTCCGGTCAAGTGGTCGCAGAAAACTGTGAGTTTAATCTTAAATATAAATTTACATTTAATTGCAATTAATTTATTCTCTATAATAGCTTCGATTCCTAACAAAGATATCGAGAAAATAAAAGAAGAATATGAACTCAAAATGAAAGACATGGCCGCGAAATATAGGGAAGAAATGGAAAGCAATGCCAAACTGAAAGAAGACATGAATAAAATGAAGTCTAATTTTGAAAAGCTTTCGACTACTGATGTGAAAGACGGTCCATCGAGTGTAGCACTGGATCACAATCATAACGATGACATCGGCAGCGCAAACATCATTGAAATGCAAGCGCAGGCTATGGAAAGACTTCAGGCTCTTGAAGGACAGATGGTTGGCGGAGAAAAGGCTAACGATATTGAGTTCAAAGAAAAAAGGGATAAACGCAAGAAAATCGCAGAAAAGAAAATAAACGCCATTTCAGAGGCGTTGGCGAAGTTGGACGACAACGATGACAGACTTCTTCTCAAAGCTTATGGAGACATCACTGAAGACTTGAGGGCAAGAACTGTGTTACTGAAGAAGGCGAAGAAAAAGATTCAGGTTTTAGAACAAGAAGTGAATGATCTTCAAAGTGAATTTGAATCCGATCGCACAGGTATTCTCTCATAGTTTTGCATCTTTCAAATTGATTATTTAACAAAATCTATACCAATTGATAGACTACTTGGAGACTATTCGCAGACAAGTGCAACAAATCAAACTTCTGTCACAAATTCTGGAGAAAGTGGAGCCGTGTTTGCGAAGAGATTGCAATTATGCGAACATCGATAGAATCAAAATGGAGAGCGTATGGGATGAAGACCTTCAAAAGTGGCGATTGCCTGATCTGGTAGTCTCTCAGACAAAACTGCCGCCTCCTCCTGGAGGTATGCAACCTGGGGGTCGAGAACCAGCCCTATCGAACCAGTATCGGCCCCATTCAGACAATGTGACACTCAATGGGACGACTAATGATAGTGAGATGTTTGGTTCATCAGCCAATTCACCGGAAGACCGACTGTTCCAGAAGTTGGAAAAGGCTGCTCAGGAGGATATGGTCACCAAATACTTTCGGCCCAAGAGAAGGGATCAATTACTAAGTAAAGTGAAGTTAAGTGAGTAAATAATTAGTTGGCGTTTTGTAAATATCACTTCTTTAGGTTTTCCAGTAAACAAAACGTTAAGATGTTTTGAATTGAATGAAGACAAGAATAAAGACTCCAATCATTCGATTCCAATCGTTGACAACCTTTCTGTTAAGACTCATATCATTGAAAGGATAGTCAGTCCGGATGCTAACTCTCGACACATATACAGCAAATCAGTGCCTTTGACCGCTAATTACAAGACCAATGACTCTACTCTTTCGCCCAACAATGGATCCCTCAGTGCCGGTGAAAGTCCTCGCAAACAATTTCCTCATAGACTCGATAGACTCGACATAATGCCTCATTTAAATATAGGTTTGTACATTACTTTACATTAAAGCTTCAATGTAACCAACAATAATCGGATATATATTAAGATCGGATAGTACAGAGTAATCATAGTAACTAATTCATTTAGTAAGTTTTAGATTCATAAAAATTACAACAGTTGTTAACGTTTTATTATACATACAGTAATTGGTATGATAGAATATCAATTTTAAAGTATTCTTGGTTAAATTTGTTTAAATTGCTTTACTATTTACTATGAATATAATTATTTATATTTTTTTATTTAAATCTTTTATAAATCTCATTCAAATTTAATTCTAGTGTTAATTTTTAAAAATTAATCACTAATTCACAATTACTATTTATTTCTTAAAGATTTTATTTTAACATTTTAAATTGAAATTATGCCTTTATAATGAAATAATAATTTCAATCAAAAGTACTATAGTTTTGTACTATAAATCAAAAGTACTATAAAATCACTAATCACTTAACATATATTTAATAAATTAAATTAATTACAGATCAATCCAATGTGGGCAATGTAAAAAAGGTTGCAAGTAATCACTTAACAAGTATTAACTCGCGAAACAATTTTCTCAATTTTCTTAAATAAGTTAAACATTATTTATACAGAATATGTATTAAAATATGAACAAAACTAATTAAACAGGATAAATTATTGTTAAGTTTATTTTAAAATTTAATGTTAATAATTGTAATGTTATTTTAAATAAATTTAATATATTTTATATTGAATTAAAATAAATTCTATAAATTTTAAGATTATAACTTGACTCGGATTTATAAAGCATTCGCTATTAACTAATAAAATATAAGAATAAATTGCTGACAAACAAATAATTAACAAATTAAATATTTTATGAATATAGTTGTGGTGAAAGGTATAATATATTGAATATATGTGTAAAGTGGATGCGATGGGGGGACAGGTTATAGACATATACAGTATTAATAGAATATTTCCCGAAGCGATATACAGATTGAGTTAAACTGAGTTTGCCTTTGCTTTAGAACTGGGAATGAATGCCATTTCATGAATGGCTTCGACAGATGGACCAGTGGCTCACATATCCATATATATTATAGTAGTTTGTTATGAAAATACTCCACTATCTGAATATGATTTCAATTAAAAGTGCAAACATGGTTTAAATTTCATAAGCAAATCCAAAGTTTTTATTTGATATAAGAAAATTCAAGTTAAACATAAGTTATGTTACATAACTAAAGTATCAATCAATTAATCAATCGGTTTATAATCGATTTAATGAAAAATTAATAAAAAGTGGAAAAAATAATGTTTAAGAATAGGAAATAAGAGTAATATAAAAGAGTTGTGAAGTTATAAATGAGTGGATAGGCCTAATTGGCCTGGCTGGTATGGAATTATGGTGTACTCGTCTTCACATCTCGCCATCAAATGCCGCTCTTCTGGTGAACAACCATTCAATTTGCGATTCAATTGTAATTTTGATTATATGTTTAGGTGATTATCATATGTATGGAAGTGTCGCTGAAATCTTGTGCGAGAGAACCCAAGTATAAGATTAATAAAATAAAGGTATAAATAGTTTTCATTGATTTCAATGAATCTAATAATGAATGACATGATTAATGCAAACACAGAGTGATTGCGATCCAAATTCATTACCATTTTTGTGGGAAATCAAGAGAAATCTGTCGTCTCTCTCATCCCCGTCTCCGTCGAGTCAGTCATACTTTTTCGGTACAATACATGTGCCGTATTCTCGTGTGTGGGACTCGATTCCCTCACGAGTGAAGAAGGCCTTCCAGAACAGTGACAACATATTCTTCGAGTTAGATCTCATCGATGGCTATACGGTGTCCACTCTTTCCAAATGTCAAATGCTTCCCAAAGGAGACAAACTCATAGATATTTTACCGCCAGATCTCTACCGGAGATTAAAGAGTCATTTGGATTACGTAAGGCATAAGTTGCCGACTTGGATGACCCCCGACCAGAGGGCGCGTGGACTTTACGCCGAGTACTTGTATAACGCCATCACAAACAATTGGGAGCATAAGAAACCAGTTTGGGTTATGTTAATGATTAACTCTCTCACCGAAAATGATATCAAATCCCGAGGTATTCCTGTGTTGGACCTCTTTCTGGCACAGGAAGCCCAACGACTTAACAAACGCATCGGATCTGTCGAAAAAGTAATGTCTCTATCAATACATCAATCACTTTATACTCCACTCTATTCCATATTTATTCACTAAATGTATGTCAATATTATGTGACATACAGTATAAAGATAGTATCAAATAGAGTAATAGAGTAATATTCAATTGCATTAATTAGACTTTCCTGAAGTTATATTTGTTTGTCACTAACTTGTATGCTATCATATGCTTGTACGGTAAGGCATTATTTAGTGAACGTTCATAAATTAGTTTGTGATAGGAATTCCTATAAAATGAGACAATATATACAGTATATATATATATATAATTTATAAATAATGAAAAATATAGTAAATATGTGGTGAATTAATTGAATGAATGAATTATTGTTTGCATATTGAGGTGGAAGAGCAATGCATTCCTCTCAATGGACTCAACTATTCTCAAGTGATGTTTGCATTGAACCAAACCCTATACCAACACGAAGGCATACGACTCGGCATTTTGCGCTCAAAACTCACTACCGATGACCTCATCAAGCATTACAATTGTGGTAATCTTAATGAACTCATTTTCAACTACGACACCACTCATGTTAGTTGTCAGATATCAGTAACCAAATCATATTAAATCTATTGTTTGCACCAAAGGTTCCTAATATAATGAATGATAAGAACTATGCGCTCTTCCGAAACTCCGAGGACTTAGAGTTAGCCAAACATATCGATGAATATTTCAGATCTGAAGTCATTGTGAAGAGAAACAAAAGGATGAGTGAAAGGGTTCTCAATATATTGCAGACGAATCCAAATGAAAGTTTCTTCTTTGCATTCGGCGCCGGTATTTCATTTGGGTTTCAGGTGTTTTCAATTGAATTGATTTGTAAATGTGTTTGCACTCAATTTTAGGTCACTTTTTAGGCAATGACTCGATTCTAGATTTCATGCAAGAAAGTGGTTTTAAAATCAGTAGAGTCTCGGACTCCAGGAGAAAGAAAAAGAGACGAAATCATAAGCGAAAGAATCACAAAAGAGATAAAAATCGCCATTCATTAAGAAATTTATCTCAAATCTGAATTGTATTCATATTGTTATAAATATACAAAATTATCATTTAAATAAAAATTACCATTCTTATCTATTCTTCATTTCATATTATGTTTTAAAATCATAACATTTCAAACATATTCAGTTATAGACTAAAAACATTTAATCATCCGATTAACGTAGAAGATCTTTTGTCTGTATTGCATAATTACACTGTATATGCAAATGCAAACCCAAAAATGCCTCGGTATTACTTAGAAAATTAAACTACACATAAAAAATTTACAATTGTTATATTCATTAAACTAACTTATAATGTGATATTATGAGCTCTCATTTATTAATTTAGTTGCTTTAAGTTCAGGTGAAAGACTTGAATTTGAGGACCAAAATGATGGTGTATAGTGTGTAAGCAATTGCCAGTACTGACTGCAGCACTGGTCTCGTTTCAAAGTGAGTTGAGACCTTGAACATTCAAATTTAAAGTTAAGAATTCTTCATTGTCTGTACAATTTTATATATACTAGACAATTATAATGAAAATAATAAAATCAAAAATAGTGTTAATGAATTTAGTCTATTGTGAATGCAGTGAAAATCTGTATGAAATACTGTACAATTGTGACGCATGGTCACTACTGTAAGTTGTGCTGTTTTATTATGTCATATCTTATTATTTTGTTATTATTTCATGTTATGTTAAATTTCGAAGAATAAGTTTTAAAATATAATATGTTGCAAAATTTATTATGAGGTATTCCTAATTTTCATATTTACAACCAAAATCTCCAGTTTTAACTGATTCTCTTATTTAACAACAAATACTGTATTCATATAAAACATGCATTCACTGCATCACAAATTCATTCGTCAACCAGATCAAACTTATCGTTATTAGATATAAAAACTACCATCATTAATTTATCATAGTTAAAGAATTTAAAATGTATTACCTTTATAATTAATAATTATTAATTATAATCGTTTAAAGTTATTAATGTAAAGGGAGAGAGAGAGAGGGAGAGAGAGAGCTGATTGTTGGTTAACGGTTAATAATGTATAGGTCTAATCACAATAATCATGATTGTATTTTGCCTTAACTTCAATTAAGTGAAGCCCTGTTTAGATGAATAACAGTATAATGAAAAATGTATTTCACTTATCACTTATGATATGATACGGGTATACAGTAATACAGTATAACTATAAGGGTTTGTGAGTGGCATCGCTAACATAGGACTGAGAGAACTACAGAATATGACGATTTGAAAGTATAGAGAATTTGCATATATTTACTGTACTCTGTAGTCAAAAGGAGTCTGTAATGAAGTTTAGTTTGAGTGCTGATTTCACAAATTTAATTCAATACAAGTCAATGAATTTGCTTGTGGCTATTATTTTATTTTTAAAATATTACTCTTAAGAGTAGAGAATTTTTAATAATAAATTAGTAATTCATATGTCGGCAAATTCTATGGGTTTGTTGTGAACTTAATGGCAAATAAATAAATTAAACAAATCATTGTTTCAGCAATCAAAACTCAGGTCTCATATTTGGTAGGTTTGGGTGCTATTAATGATTGGTGGACACGACTGCGCGATCACGTGTATTCTCAAGCAATAACAGCTCTAATTAATACCCGGACACCGGATTGAAGTGTTATCGACTTGAAAGTACACCCGAATGCTCAGTATTTATAGCACATAACCCCTCAAATAGACCAAACATTAAACAAGTCTTTTATATTTGTATTAAATAAAACACAAAACAAACACATATTTTCTCAATATACGCTTAATAGTGTTATTACATTTATTTACTATATATACTAATTTCACAATCAATTTAATTCTTTACGTTTCAAACTCTTTAGGGTAATAATTATCACAATATCTCTCTCTCTCTCCCTCCCTCCCTTTACATTAATAACTTTAAACGATTATAATTAATAATTATTAATTATAAAGGTAATACATTTTAAATTCTTTAACTATGATAAATTAATGATGGTAGTTTTTATATCTAATAACGATAAGTTTGATCTGGTTGACGAATGAATTTGTGATGCAGTGAATGCATGTTTTATATGAATACAGTATTTGTTGTTAAATAATCAGTTAAAACTGGAGATTTTGGTTGGAAATCTGAAAATTACGAATACCTCATTGTTTATCTCATAATAAATTTTGCAACATATTATATTTGAAAACTTATTCTTCGAAATTTAACATAACATGAAATAATAACAAAATAATAAGATATGACATAATAAAACAGCACAACTTACAGTAGTGACCATGCGTACAGTATTTGATACAGATTTTCACTGCATTCACTATAGACTAAATTCATGAACACTATTTTTGATTTTATTATTTTAATTATAATTGTCTAGTATATATAAAATTGTATAGACAATGAAGAATTCTTAACTTTAAATTTGAATGTTCAAGGTCTCAACTCACTTTGAAACGAGACCAGTGCTGCAGTCAGTACTGGCAATTGCTGACACACTATACACCATCATTTTGGTCCTCAAATTCAAGTCTTTCACCTAAACTTAAAGCAACTAAATTCATAAATGAGAGCTCATAATATCACATTATAAGTTAGTTTAATGAATATAACAATTGTAAATGTTTTATGGGTAGTTTAATTTTCTAAGTAATACCGAGGCATTTTTGGGTTTGCATTTGCATATACAGTGTAATTATGCAATACAGACAAAAGATCTTCTACTTTAATCGGATGATTAAATGTTTTTAGTCTATAACTGAATATGTTTGAAATGTTATGATTTGAAAACATAATATGAAATGAAGAATAGATAAGAATGGTAATTTTTATTTAAATGATAATTTTGTATATTTATAACAATATGAATACAATTCAGATTTGAGAGAAATTTCTTAATGAATGGCGATTTTTATCTCTTTTGTGATTCTTTCGCTTATGATTTCGTCTCTTTTTCTTTCTCCTGGAGTCCGAGACTCTACTGATTTTAAAACCACTTTCTTGCATGAAATCTAGAATCGAGTCATTGCCTAAAAAGTGACCTAAAA